TAAGAACTTGTTCGCCGTTTCCCCCAGCAACCTTCTTCTCGAACATGACAACTTGTTGCAGACCGACATCGCGCCCCTTGCCGCACTGCAGCCACACGTACGTGGGTATCAATTGGCGTGAAGAGCACAGACAGTTGCTAGGGGTACTACCTGCGACGGGAGAGATGTATTTGCATCAGAAATCCCATATGTTTCCTAGAATAACTTCCACATCTAATCGGAAGTGAAAAGCTAAATCAGATACAGTGAGCTGCCATTGAGCTCCCAAGAGCAGGCTCCACATGCATGAAGTGCATAGAAGTCCCTCCAGATGGGCCCCTTGCATTTGTTCTGGTGCTGTCCATACCTGTATATAGTCAGCGTGGTGTACGCAATAACCTCTAGCGGTGCAATTAAAACCAGCGAAAATGTCTTCTGATAGGTTGATTCCGTTGGAAGCTTTTGAACAAGAGCCGCACGTCTGTACGAAGAAGCGATCGAAGATGTCAGGATGACCATAGTGCATTCGCACCTGAAGAAGCAAACAAACTGGAATCTCACATTTAGTGACAACATGAACGATCCTTCGTGCTCTGCTCCGTTTAGGAATAGTTTCCTACTACTCGCCCCTGCAAATCCTCCACGGCGTCTAAGTTAATTTCCAACGGTAAAATGTCATGAAGAATATAAAATACTTGCGCACTCTCAAAGGAGTGAAGTACAAGCGTTGGTTTGTCGTTGTGAAAAGGTTTTCCTGCAGGGCCATGTAGCTGGCTAAACTTGAAACGTTTTCTGTAAATATGTGCTCCCTGAAGCCTGATCATAGAAAGAGCATTTTAGCCTTTTCTGGGTTTTTGTTGACGTGGAGTGTCAAAGCTGTGCCATCCAGCCGCACTATTATTAGGAATGATAATTTTACTATGTCTGGCACATTAAACTGAGATCCTACATCTGTTTTGGTTGAGAAGCCCTTATCAAGGAACGTCCCTTACCGAGAATCCGCATTCGAGCGTTCAGCGCGAATTCCTGAAGTAAGTTGCGGAGCTTTATCGCCTCCTCAAGGTACGACTCCATATTCATGTCCATCACCTGCATAGTGTCCATTCTCGAAAAGGCAATTGCGTGGTTCTGATTTTCAGGCTTCCCTGGTCCAATGATCGGAGCGCGACCCCACGGCGTCCCTGACTCGTCTACTATCAAGGGCAGCCGAATCTTGTAAATAGCCTCGAGTCGCAACGGACCCCTGCGCGACGGCCACAGCATTTCTTCTTGGTTGGTGTTGCGCCGAAGCCTGGCCAGGTTTTGTGCTTCAGCCTCCATGCGTGCTTGGTGGCGCGACAGCTTTTCTTCAAAAAAAGCTACGCGCTCTTTCATTGTCAGAATCCCTATCTCCCTGAGAGCGCCGACACTGTTGCTTCTGTGGGCGGCGGTTCTTGGCGAACTCGTGCGAGCCTCGTGCTTATCTCTTTTTGAGCCCGAGTTAGCTTGCCGGTCGTGGTTATCCTGCCTGCTCACTGCGCCGCTCGTTTCTAGAGCATGCGGAGAAATTTGGAACTCTGTTCGGTGAAAGGCCTCGTGCCGATGGAGCTGCAACGCTTGGACAGGTGGATGCATTCCAATGCCTACTTTCGTGTGATTGTAAGCATTGATAGCGTCTTGGTTACTGGCCACCACGGAGTCCTCAGGCCAAGCAGCAGAGTCCAACAAATGTTCCAAGCGGTGGACGTCCATGGTTGCCAAGGCACTCCAAGGCAGCGAGCTCTCGTGCCTAGGATGCAAAGTGATGATGGAGTGCCTCCTCAGCGCTGAAGTGCATTCTGCACCTAGTGCATCTGTAGGGCTGCTCGAGTCCAACATGCAATGCCTAGCCCTCATTGTCGGTCGAGTAGTGTACTGTCTGGCTCTCCCGGAAAGCTCACCTGAGCAGCTTGTTTTCTTCTTCTCGAAAGAGCAAGAGCCAAAGGAACCAGCGCCTGTTTGCGGCTGGCCAGCACACCCAACGGGCGTCATGGGAGCCATGCAGTCACGCGCCAAATCTCGAGCAAACTGCGCCTCCAGAAGCGTTGGCGTAGGAACGCTATTGGGAAAATTGCCAGGGGCATAGGATGGCAAGCGAGCAGAATCTGTTCGCCATTGGAAGTGGCTTCTGCTTGAGTCAAGGGTGTTCAATTGAGGCGGAGGGTTGCTTGGGTATTCGCAATCCACGTCTTCCCCGGAAGCAGCCCTGGCGTATCCAGTAGTTTGTCTATGGATAAGAGGAAAGCGCGGACTTGCGCTGTGGAGAGGAGTTTGAGACAACAGAATTTCTGCCTGAAGTCCCTTGGCGCAAGAGTTTTCTGCAGATCCTGAATCGCCTGAAGACTCTACTAGCGTATCACTGCGATCGGTCCTTTTGAAAGAACTGACGGCACGTGCTGGAGCCTCCATTTGGTTTGGATCCGGGCCGTGCGGTAACCCTTGGCACAGCATGGAGAGGAAAGTTCTTTTTTGCCCGCCAGTTGCCTCAGGATGTGACCGCGTTAGGTGACTCTTTGAATCCAGCTCTCCGGTCCCTTCATGAGGTGAAACTGTATACCGAAAAGCGCTCTTCGTTCGTGCAGCAAACAGAGATCTGTCACACTCCTTTTTCTGACGCAGCCAATGAATAGCACGCGCGATCTTAGACTCGAAATCTCCAGCACCTCCTTTTGCCCCCATGGCCCCTGCTCCCTTGCTTGGGAATCGCGATGGTAGGCAGGGACTGGATTTTGCCTGGATTTCCGGAGTGGCAGGTGGCGCCGATGGGCCTATCTCGTTCGCTTTCGGACTACCGAACGCTGGTTCCTTTGTTTCAGGAGTTATGAAACCCTTCTTCAGGAGTTCGCGGGTGCCTTCGAGAATGGTTGTGCGGATATACTGCCGGGACTCAGCGCGCCGATGCATTGCCAGATTCTCCTCAACTTTACCAACTATATTGCGCTCATCCGTGCTATGTGACAGCTCAGCAGAAGTTGTCAAGGCTTGCTGTTCGACGGAACCAGTAGCCGCTTTGCTGCTGCTGCTGGAAGCGGCCTCTGCCGATCGAACCCCTCCACTGCTGCTGC